TTCTTTCTTTCTTTCTTTCTTTCTTTCTTTCTTTCTTTCTTTCTTTCCTCCTTCCTTCCATTCTCTCTCTCTCCCATTCTTCTCCATCTTTCTTTCCCATCCTCCTGCTCCTCCTCTTTCTTTCCCTTTCCTCCTCCCCCTCCTCCCCCATACCTATGTAGAGTTCAGACTTGCTTTCTTTATGAAGTGCTCTGTGCGTCTCGTTCCCTAACTTAAAAACCTCCCCTTCAGATGTCCTGTGGAGCCAGCCACGACCAGCAAGCCCTTGCATTTCAGACACCAGACAAAAAGATTCACAGCCGGCATATAATTTAGGCCAGCCGGTCAGTTCCCCAAAAGAAGTTAAGAGGTAAGTGCATTTTGAGCATTTCAGTTCGATTCTGGGCAGCTTATAAACATTTAATTTTATAGCAGAAGTGACATCAGGCAGATAGTCAGTATAAAGGGCACATCCTGGATTCCAGTTCCCGGATGTAACCACATCAGAAACTGGATGAGAGATTGCAGAGTTGAATACCGCCAACTTGTTTTGTTTACTTACTGTTTTTTTTTTAAATAATTTAGGTAGATAGATTAAACATCAGAGAAGTCTGGTCAACTGTAACTCTAAATTTAACCCCAGCGTTGCTTAAATGAAACTGGTTTTCTAATTTCATTTTCCATCTGATTTAAGACCAGATTATAGAATAGGATCTGACTGTGTGTTGGAAAAAGACAACTCCTGGTGGTCCTTCTGGACCTTTCTATAGACCTTTTGATACCAACAAACTATGGTATACCCTTCTGGATGGGCTGTCAGAGTTGTAATTGGGGTGCGATTCAACCAGTGTAACAACTGGTTTGCGTGCAGAGCGTTTGCTACTGACTTCTCCAGCAATCCCCGTGTGTTAAACAGCTGACGCGTGTTCTTGTTGAAAAGCAGGATATAAAGCACAGCCTAGAGCCCAGGCGGACGAATGGGCCCAACAGCTGATCGTTGGAGCAAACCAAACTAGTTTGCTCCCAGCTGATCCTTGGCGCTACCAGTTCTAATGAACCGTGACGAACCGGTAGAATCCCACCCCTGATTGAGATGTGGTATCACTCCTACTTGGACACTTGGAAGTGCTGGGGAATTATTCTTCTGCTTCATAGTGATTGAATTGTAGAGCATTTGGAGGCTCCTTTTGATCCCCTCAAACATCTACATGAAACTGCTGGGAGAGCTCATCAGGAGATGTGGGTTTAGGTATCCTCAATATCCAGGTGCCACCCAAACTCCACCTCTTTTTGTCCCCTCCAAAACAGTTGGGCAGGGTACTGGATTGGACGAGAGCCAATCACCTGAGGTTCAATCCAGACAAGAGGGATACAAACTCAGGGGTGGGATTCACCGGTTCGGGCCGGTTTGGGAGAACCGGTAGCTCCGAGGATCCGCTGGGAGCCAACTGGTTTGGTTTCCTCCGACGATCAGCTGTTGGGCCCACTTGCCCGCCCGTGCTCTAGGCTGTGCTTTATATCCTGTTTTTCAAGCTGCACATCAGCCGTTTAACACACAGGGTTTGCTGGAGAAGGCCAGTAGCAAATCCTCCCCAAAATGGTTGTTACACTGGTTGAATTGCATGCTGTACAAACTCCACAACCTTTCACATTCTAGAGTTTCTATGTTACCAGGAAAAGAACCAATTTGGAGGGGAGATAAAGTGAATGTAAGAATCTAGGTTTATCCCTTTAGGTAGTGACAATGAAAAGTGTATATTATTGTTGTTGTTGTTGTTGTTGTTGTTATCTTTAGTGAGATTCACAGCCTTTGGGGCTGGTTGGTAGCTCAGCAGCTCGAGTCCTAACCAAGGACCTAGGAACTGTTCAAGTAGCGTCGGAGGATATAAGCTTTTCCAAGTAGAGTGGTTTTTTGTAGAATTAGGGTATTCAAGTCTGATAAATTCAGAATTTCCAAATAGCGAGGCAGCCCTTTAGGTATTGCTCTAAGGGCTCCAATTACAATTGGGATAACATACGATTTCTTTTTCCAAAGTTGCTCAACTTCAATTTGTAAGTCCCGATACTTTTTTCTTCCTGCGTGCCTACAATTTGTACCAGGTATTGCAATGTCAGTGAACCAAACCTTTTTCTTTTCAGCTATTGTTATGTCAGGCATGTTGTGGGCCAAGTGCTTGTCCGTCTGAATTCGGAAGTCCCACAAGATCTTGACTTTTTCATTCCCCAGAATCTTCTCAGCCTGATGTTCCCAGCAGTTGTTACTATACTCAAATCCAAACTTTGGGCACAGTTTCCAGTGAATGATTTTTAGCAACCTAGTTATGTCGTTCTAGGTAGTCAGTTTGTGAAATTTTGCTGCACTCACTGATTAAATGGTGAACTGTTTCATCTTTCTCATTACGGAGGCGGCATATTGTTGTTGTTGTTGTTGTTATTATTATTAGACAGAAAAATGACAGTGTACATAGCAAACGAGATAACTATGCTGGGTTTTGTATCACAAATCACTAGTCGAACACTTCCCAAGTATTTAGGACTGCGTTATGATTAGGATTGTTTATTTATTTATTTAATTTATTTAGAGCCAAGAAAGTTGGTTTTACAAAAACTCAACCTCGGAAAAAGGCATCAACTAGCTTTGGTTGCTCTGGAAGCTGTCTATGGGGGGGCTTCCAAAATGCTCAACACTATTCATCTGAGCTCCCACCCTTTTCAGGAGCTCAGTCACACCAGTTGCAAAGCGTTGGGGCAAGGAGGACTGTCTCCCATGAAGTCAGAATCCAAAACAGCCCAGGATCATCAACCTGTTGAGTTGACTTAAAGACAGCCTCCTCTCTGGAATCTTCTGGCTCCTCCCATCCCAAGCGGGAAAGATGGCTTTTTCCGGAGAAAGTTCTCAAAACAGTACTGAATTTGGTCAGCAGATGTCAGTGAAATCATTGCAGATCTGCTAACGCAGCTCTGAAGCTCTGAGGTTTGAGCAGGCCTGTTGTGGTTCGCCGGCAGCAGTTGCAGACGGCTGAGGTCTTGGAGAGCGAGGACTCGGATGAGGGGCCAGCGGGTGATGCAGGGGTAGGGACAGGACCATCAGGGAGTGGAATGCTGCCTTTGGAGATTGTGGAGGCTGGCAGCAGCAATGAAGAGGCCCCCGAGGAGCCTGTGCCCAGTGAGCGTGTGCGCAGGGCTGCTCGAAGGAAAGAGCAGCTGCGGCAGCATGGGTGACTCGGGAGTAAGGCTGCAAGGTAAAGGCCCCTCGCTTAAGAGATAAAAGCCAGTTGAGAAACCGCAGTTCTTTGCAAAAGGCAAAGAAGTTTTACACTCGAGCCTGGTGAACGTTAGGAGTATCTGGGTTGGTGTTTAGAGACTCTTTGTGTTTGAATTATTACTTAGTAACTTTATCTGGTGTTCTTGGCAGCCTTGCAAAACCTTGGCAAGGCTCTTTCTTATCAGAGCTAATTGGTTTGAAGCAGCTTTTAACAGGATTCGTAAAGAAACATTAAAAGGTTGTGCTATTACCTTTGTCTCATGTTTGCTACCTTGGAACCAGGTTTGGGTCAGAACAAGGCCTGACCATGATAGGATGATGTCACTGATCAAGGGTTGAAAATTTGGAACCTACTTCTTAACTGTAGGTTGGGGGCAGCTCATTCCCACGCTCACCCCTTTTTGTAAAGTAGAAAGCAATACCGCTAGAATTTCAGCCACTACATTTTGGTGGTGGTGATGTGGAAGTAACATATTCTCTTAATTTGTTATTTTATACTCCAGGGCAGTTTCCCAAGGCAGCTCCAGAACTGGTCCATCGTCCCCACGTTCTCCCACGGTCCAAAGCCAATCGTCTAACAGGTATCAAGGACCATTAAAACATTTTGCCGGCCAATTAAAGCATTTAATTAAGGCAGTTGTGGACCTACGTTGTACAGATATGTGTTTATTTTATTTGCAACATTTAAACTCCACGTTTGCTCCTCGAAGATGACGACAACTTGAGAAGGACAACCCTAAACCAACCATTGTACTACAGTTGCAAGCAAACACTTCAATGTAAAAGTAAATGAAAATGTTGGGAAAGAGTGACTGGAATAGAATAGAATAGAATTCTTTCTTGGCCAAGTGTGATTGGACACACAAGGAATTTGTCTTGGTGCAATTGCTCTCAGTGTACATAAAAAGAAAAGATAATTCGTCAAGAGTCAAGAATCATAAGGTACAACACTTAATAATAGTCATAGGGTACAATAGAATAGAATACAGAATAGAATAGAATAGAAATAATAGAATAGTATAGAATATAATAGATATTGGAATAGAACTAGAATAGAATATTGGAATAAAGAATGGAATGGAATGGTATGGAATAGAATATTGGAATATAGAATAGAATAGAATAGAATAGAATAGAATAGAATAGAATTCTTTCTTGGCCAAGTGTGATTGGAGATGCAAGGAATTTTTCTTTTGGTGCAAATGCTGTCAGTGTATATAAAAGAAAAGTTACATTCGCCAAAAGTCAAGGATCATAAGGTGCAACACTTAATGATGTCATAGGGTACAATCAGCAATCAAATCCTACTAGGAAACGGTCAATATAGATTGTAAGGATACAAGCGACAAAGTTACAGTCATACAGACACAAGTGGGGGGGATGGGTGGTAAGGAGTGATGAGAAGATTAATAGTAATAGTAGTGCAGACTTTGTAAATAGTTAAACGTATAGTTGAATTTGTGATCAGGTTTTACAAATTACCACACATTCCTGCAGCGACGTGTGTGGGGGAAGAAAAGGGGGGGGGGGAATAATTAACTTAAAGTTGAGATCCTAAAAAACAAATCAGAAGTACAGGCGGTCCTAGACTTACAACGGTTCGTTCAGCGACTGTTCAAAGTTGCGGCAGCACTGAGAAATATGACTTAGGATCATTTTTTACACTTAATGACCAATTGCAGCATCCCCATAGTCACATGATCCAAATTTGGGATGCTCGGTAGCTGTCTCGTATTTATGACGGTTGCAGCATCCTGAGCTCACGTGATATCCCCTTTTGCAATCTTCTGACTAGCAAAGTCAATGGGAAAATCTGATTCACTTAACAGCCTTGTTGCTAAATTAACAATGGCAGTGATTTGCTTAGCAACCGTGGCAAGAAAAGTCGTAAAATTGAGCCAAAACCCACTTAAACAATGTTTCACTTAGTGTTGTAGCTTGTCAGTGACCAGCAGAGCTGGCGGCAGACTCGGACAGTGAGGAAGTTGGGGAGGAACATGGACCAGTCCTGGAGTTTGGGGAAGGGTCAGATGAGGGCTCTGCATCGGAGACAGAGATGGGGACAGGGCCATCCAACAGTTATCAGCTGCCTTCTCAATTAGAGATCAATGGAGAAGAAGAACAGCTGGAGCCTGTTCCCAGTGTGTGCATGCACAGAGCTGCCAGAAGAAGGGAACAGTTAAGGAACAAGGGTCGACTCAGGAGTAAAGGCACAGGTGGATGGAGGGAATAAAGAGGAGTGAAAGGGAAGTGGGGTTTGCAGGAGGCAATTAGTTCATTTAATTAGAGTGAAGATTTGTTCCTGACTCCTTGCCAAGTCTTTTCTGCTATAGCATTGCGCTTGGAAGCTATCGCCCTGGCAAATCTCCAAGTCCGTTAAGGTCTGTGATTGTAAATAACTCTTGAAAGAGTGTTTGTTGGTTGTGAATGATAGGAATTCACATTAGCCTAAATAAAAAGGGGGTTGGTCGGGACGAGGAGTCTACTTCGTGATTTTGTGAAGCCTAGATCAGAACACTTAGCAACAGAAATGATGCACTCGATTCTCGTCGTTAAGTCAAGGGTTCCTGGATTGTCATAAGTCACCTGGAAAGATTTCAACCCCATTTTATCGTTTCAGGTCCATCAGTGGGAAGAAGCTCTGCTCCAGCTGTGGACTCCCCCTCGGAAAAGGAGCCGCCATGATTATTGAAAGCCTTGGTCTTTATTTCCATATTCAGTGCTTCAGGGTAGGTGTCCCTCCATCATCTTTGCTCTTCGTGGCCAAAGCCTACCCATCCAAGATGTCTTCTCCTCAATTAAAACTTGTATTTGTTTATCTAAGTATAAAATACAAAGGAAAAAAAACATGGAAAAGTAAGAAGAGAGGAAGGGAAAAAGAGGGGCATGGTGTACCATGTTTCCCTGAAAATATGACCTACCCTGAAAATAAGCCCTAGCCATTTTTTTTTTCTGGGGTCAAAAGAAAATAAGACCTGGTCTTATTTTCAGGGAAACATGGTAATGGAAGGGGTAAAAAAGAAAAAAGGCACCAACTTCCAACTCTCTGGCACAGTCAAAGGGTAACAACATTACAATTTTAAAAATTTGCTTTTACAAAGCCATATAATAATAAGCCTAATATACAAAAACAGAATCAAACGTTCTGTGGTTTTTCCCCACTCATTGCAAACACAAAATCAGAAAGCAAATTCAAACTCAAGACAAAGTTAAATATTATCTCTTATTTGGATAAAAGAAACATTTTAACTCTCTCAGCTTCCCTTGCTGTGGGAATACATCATTCATGCTCCTGTTTTTAAATCTAGTCCATAATATTTTACCAACTTTAAAATATTGTTCAGTGTTACTTAAAAAACCATCATGCCTGCGTATACATACATACTTATTTTAAACATACAAAACTAACTTAAAGTTTTCTAACACTACATATATCATTTTTTTAAAAAAAAATCCATCCTAATGAATTAAACCATATTTAAGTCCCTCCCTCCAGCTTATATTCATAGAATAGAATCTTTTTCTTCTTGGGAGAGTTTATCACATCTCCTTTCTTTAAAGAAGTTCTCAGCTTTATTTATGTCCATTTAAAAAAAGTTCCAAAGTTGTTCTGTTAGATGTTGTAAATTGGTCTGAGGTAAATCTTCCTGAGGTCTGAGGTAAATTGGT